AAGACAAGTTCGATAACCAAATACAATTTTGAAATTAGGGTATAGGCAAAATGAGGAGTCTCATTTGCAATTGTGTGTAAAGATAACAAATTAGTGACATAGGGAATATATATATGATGAATTCTAAGGAAAATTCTAAATTCAATATGGTAGTTTCTTTCAAATTAAATTATAAATTGGTACAATGTGTAAACGCATGCCAAAATAAAGTGGTACTATAAAGTATACTGATAAATATGTATTTAAATTGAGTATCAATTCATTATAATTACACAAAATATTATTTTCCATGTAAAAAAACTATTTCTAGACATCTCTTATTCTTGTGAATTTGAATATTTTAGTAAAGCCACATTTTCTACAAAGATAAAGCAAAGAAAAAAATGAAGAAGTAGAATTGCAGAATTAAAGGCATTACAAGTAGAAAAAGAACACATCTGGTCCTCAGAAAACCATTTTTAATTCTGAAAAATATCAAGCAGAGTCATGTCCCTTTTCAGATGGTTCATCCATGACAATAATTGATGACAATATATATCAATAAATACATCTGTAAGGTTGCCATATCAAGTTGCATACAGAATCTGATCATTGATCCATCTAGTTCAGTACTATCTATTTTGATAGCAATTTCCCAAGGTTTTTGATAGAGAACTTTCCCAGCACTGACAAACAATATTGCTTTTAACTGAGAAATGCCAGGAATTGAAGCTGAAATCTTTCAAATACAAAGTAAATTACAACGTTTTCCTTAGCACAGCTATAAAACAAAAAAATGCCAGATACTTTAAACCAGGATACAAAGAAGTGAGCTAAAGCCATTTCTGTAAAATACATGTAAGCAAAACCTAATTTCTAAGAGAAAACTACTACCAGCCACTCAACTATGGAGACATAACACAAGTCCTAATAATTTAATCATCTATTTAGAAAGCTTACAAAAAATAAACAAATATCAGTAAAGATTGTTAGTGATTCATAAACTTTACCAATGCTAGTTCGGAACATTCTGTAATACAGATAGTCCTTGACTTACGACCACAGTTGGGACTGGAATTTCCATTGCTAAGCAATACAGTCATAAAGTGTAACATCATGTGACTACATTGTTTAGCGACGGCAATCCCAGGCCATCATCCCAGTTGCCATCGTAACCCCAAGATGTGCAGGTTGTTAAGCGGGAAAAGGCGGGAGTCCCAGGCAAGGAACATGGGGGTGCTGCAGGGGGGTGGGAGAGGCCTGGGAGGGCTGGCACAGGCTGCGCATAAGTTGAGGGAGGGGGTGCTGTGGTGCAAGCTCAGGAAGGCCAGGAAAGAATACGCTGCAGCTCAGGTCTTCTTGGATGCCACAGCTCTGGGGCTGCAAGGTTTTTGCCCAGCCCAGCCCAGCAGCACAGCACAAAGCTGCCATGCCCCGGGAAGCCCCAAGAGCACAGCATAAAGCCACCGTGCCCCAGGAAGACCCAACTGCCCCAGCCCAGTCCCAGCCGCAGTTGCCCTCACCACCCTGCACTCCGAGGCCCCTGTCGCCCTGTGCTCTGTCACCCCAGCTGACCTTTGCCATATCCTGGCTCCTGCTGCTAACGCAGCATGACTGCCCTGGCCCTTCCCAAAGCAGCTAGTGGCCACATGAGGCCATCTTCCCTAGGTCTTGCGAGGAAACCACTGTGTGCAACCTTGGGAAGAAAGCCTCATGCAGCCAGCAGCTGCCTTACAAAGGGCCAGGCCAGGCGTGCTTGGTCAGCAGTGAGAACAAGACGACAGTCAGCTAGGGTGGCAGGAGTCACAGAGTGCAATGGACCATAAGGGCATAGATGGAGGGAAATAGGTGGGCGGGGGGAGTTGAAGTGCCCCACGGTTGTAAATGCAGGCGGGTTGCCAAGCACCCGAATTTTGATCATGTGACCGTGGAGGTGCTGCAATGGCTGTAACTTTGGGGACCGGTTGTAAATCCCTTCATTCAGTGCCATCTTAACTTCAAATAATCACTGAAAGAATTGTCATAAGTTGAAGACTACCTGTATGTAGGTAGAGAAGACGTTTGGCAAAGTTGTTGTTGTTATTATTATTTAAACTTGTATGCCATCCAACTCTCAATAACTCTGGGTGGCTCACAACAAAGAAACTACAATATAAAATTAATGTAACTTAATTTAAAATAGTTTAAAGTCTTTGAATAAGTGTGTGTCACATCAAGATGCCTCACAATTTATGTCTGACAATACAGTGTTAAGAGAATGACTAACAATACATTCTAAGTTAGATACAAAATTAAACTTGCTTGTTTTGGAAGCATAAGTATTTATTCTGATTACTTATGTAACTTCATTTTTTTTCAAAATAAGCTGATTCATTTGGAGAAAAAAGGCATACAAATCATGCATGACTTGGTTCATTATGTACTAAAATGCTTGACATTCTTGAGATTTCATGTTCACATATTTTAATATTAATGTCAATCACAGAATGATTGAGTTGGAAGGGACCACAAGGATCATAATTCCTCCGCAACCTGCAAGAAAACTTATTAAACCTTCTTTGGGAGGTGGCTGTCCAGTCTTTTCTTTGAAACTTCCAGAGATAAAGAACCCACAACCTCCATAGGCAGGCTCTTCCACTATTGTACAAATCTTACCATAAGGAAGTTTTTCCTTATATTTAAACGAAGTCAAGGTAGCTGCAATTTACACCAATTATTTCTGGTCTTAGTTTCTGTGGCAATGGAAAAGAGTTCCAAATCATCTTCTCTATGTACTTGAATGCAATATCATGCCTCCCCTCTGTCTTCTTTTCTATAGACGAAACATCCCAAGTTCTTTCATCCCGTCCTCGTAGGACACAGTCTCTACTTGCATCAAACTTTCTGGGAAGCTTTAAATAATTTAATCATTTAAGAGAGTTTTCCCCAAGCTGCTGCCTTCCAAACGATCTGAATTACAACTCATATTGGAATTGACATGGACAATGTCAGAGATGTTGGAAGTTGTCCAAAACAGTTGGAAGAACCACAGTTAAAGAAAGGTGATCTAGGGCTACAATATATATTCCTTATTTTGAAGAACAAATGTCCATTCCCTGCTTGTACCTCTATCTTTCAAAACAAGAATGTATATAGCTACAATCTGGATCTAACAAAGGAATAGGCAATCACTTTTGGCCTAACAGCCAATAATTTTTTAAAAACTATTTCCGCCTCTGAAAATTGCAGGGAAGGTACTTGGTGCTATCATCAGCACAGAAAAACAAGGCCAAAAATATTACCTCAAGGAACAGAAATGAAAACAGATGCATTTTTCCTCGCAGAAGCTTAATGTATCAATTTCTACCCTTATTTTTGCTAAAAGCAGTACATAGCACAGCCACAGATAATCCATTTTGTCACTGAATTTAAGCTGCATGATCTGGAGAAAAATGCAGGTTGGTGGTCAGATATGGCCTGCGTACAGATTATTCATTATATTTTAAGGCAATATGAAGTTATATTAAGAGATTTATTATTTGCAATGATTCAGCAAGTCTTATAAGAGAGGAAGAGATCTATCCACTGTAGGACTTAATTTTTTCTATCTTTAATTCATTATTTTAAAAGATTTGAAAAATAGGAATATATATTCTAGGAAGCATAAAATGTGAATGGAATTCACTTCAGTTTTTTTTTTAAATAGATACTACATTGGGATCCAATTCTTCATAAATGTTTACAGCTATACGTGTTGAGTTTTTGTTTATTTTTGCTACTACCCTTTAAAGTTGGACAAGTTGCCATCGCTTATGTTCCCTAACATTTCATGAATTCTGTCGTTATACTCCAGAAATTTCCACACACAGGTTCAGTGCAAGCTAAAAATCAAATTAGTAGTCATATTTATAGAAGTTAATGTCATTCATACCACATTTCAAAGGCATGTAACATTAATGCAAGGTTCCCTACACAAGTTAATATATTTTTCTAATTAGTCTAGACATGCATCTGGGAGCTAAAAGTGATTGGGAAAGCAATTTATGCAAACCATACTCCAAATTTACTTCTTCTTTAGGCTTTTGTATAGTAAGTACAAAAGTCTGAAAATAATTTTAGGCATCTTCAACCGAACACATTTAGAATCCTCATGGATAATAAAGGTCCTTAACTATGATGAGCATATTCAGCCAAACGCACTTCCAAACCCTTTTCAGTGTATCAATTTTCAATGTGTTCAGTGTACAAAGGAATGGAGCCCACATATACATGGATATTCAGGACTAGACATTCATACATCCTACTCCAATACTTTTGGTCCTTATATTTCAAACAGATGCCTAAACAGATGTGAGTATAACCCAACCTCCTTTCTGTGTAGGTTAGATCTAGGATCTACATTTTATGTTTTGTAGGACTGTGCAAACCATTCAAAGGGGCTCTTTGCAAAGAGGCTCTTTGCAAAGGTCACTGAATCAAAGGAAGCATTAAAGGGCTGAAGCAGCTGTGTCCTCCATAAGGCTGGGGGGAGCTGATTCAACAGATCATCTCTGCATACACACGCACATACATCCACTTCACTCCTATCAATCCCAGGGGAAGTGCTGTTCCTACGTGCATAGGCTACCTGGTAAGGTCTTCAACCAGTCACAACATGACTTCCATGCTTTAACACTTTGAAAAGGACTGCTTTGTTTGTGCCAACATGCTTTGTGAAATGATCCTCTGAATGCTTTGTGCAGTCCTAATATTTTCCTAAATGTATCTGATTGAGGAGGCAGGTGAATGGAAAGGAGACCCAGAAATATAGCATAGACAAATTGAAAGGATTATGAATAATAGAAAGAAACAATGAACTAAGAATATACATAAGCCTGAGGCAACGTTGGCTTCTGAGCTTCCAAAGACCACTGTCTGAATATTCAAAACACGAAGGACCACATGCAGCATATAGTAAAATTAAAATTTATTTGCACCTACACAGATGCACATGTGAGCACATAATCACCCATACATATGCACGCACACACACCTTTTCTTACTTTAATATGTTTGGGTGTGAAAGCCTGTTCATGAGCTGGACTTCTTTCAACATGTTTGCACGATTGCTGCTTAGTGTATTCATCTTCAAGGCCATTACTTGATCCGATACTCTGTGCCGCACCTAAACAAATCCAAAAAGAAAAAAGGATGAGTTCACAGGCCAGTGGAACACACTGATTCAACACATTCTGTAACGTGCAATTTGGCCGAAGTTATTTAAATCACTCTCTACAAATTAATAAAAATTCCCACAATTTTAGAGCTTATGTAAACTCATTCTTTCTCATTAATCTATGTACATTAACTTATGCAATTAGTAAAATCTGAAGCCATGAAGTACTGCATACGTTTTTCTTTTTATAGCTTCCCTGGCAAATTAGTATTTAGGCGTGTTTCACAAGCCATAAAGACTTTCATGGTACTTCCACAACGACAGCCACTGTTATACATCATAATGCCAACAAAAGTAATATATTTCAATCATTTGACCTCCTGTTTAAATACTGATGTTCTACAAATGAGCATTCTGATTTGTCCAGTGTTTGCAGTTGAGCACGTTTCCTTCTACTGCAGTTATTAACTGGAAAACCATTGGAAAGGCTTTATCTCTGGGCTGGCCTGTACTCCTTTTGAAAGAGCAGTCTTGCAACTTGAGGGTCCTCCTGGGCTCATGGCTTTCACTTGATGACCAAGTAGAAGCTGCGACCAAAATGGCCTTTGTCCAACTTTAGCTGGTGTGACAGTTGTGGTCTTTCCTGGAGCAGGGGGCACTAACGGCAGTCACTCCCATCCTTCTTGCCTTTCAACTGGATTATTGTAATTTGCTCTATATGGTGCTGCCCTTAAAAGACCATCCTGAAATTTCAGCTGGTATAAAATGCAGCTGCACAGAGTTTTACAGCACAGAATGCATGCAAACAGAGAATGGCTGCTGAGGATCTCAATATACTGTGGTGTCCAGTAAGAGGAGGTATAGAATTAAGCATTCTGTTATTCTATATGGAACAGTTTGCCCCGGAGGGAACAACAGCCTTCCCTTCATAGTATTCTAGAAGCTTATCAAGACATGACTATTCTGGAAGGCCCTTAGTCACTGTCCCCCCTCCCCTAGTTTAGAAGCACCACAAATAAATGTGGATGAAGGATATTACGGTATTATCATAATTAATAATGTGATTATATTATTGTATTGTTTTATATGACTGATTTTATCATGCATATAGTTAGATTATGAACTACTTAGGGTTGACTGTGATTGGGATGTAATAAAATCTCAAAATCAACTATTAATTTTTGCTGATTATTCATTAAGTCATTCCATACAAAATTTCTCTGGATGGTTCACAGAACTCAGGAGAAACACAATACAGTAAAAATACAGCACCGTACACTACTGAGTACTAAAAAAAAATCATGCATTCAGAAACGTAAACTCTTTCCACACTCCAACACAACTGCATTAAACCACAAATGATGGAAGAGGAAAAGTATTAGTAGGTCTCTCCATATCCCATGATCCAAGAAAGAACCTGTTGAACAAGATGCCACATATAACCTTGTAAAACTACTTGATACTTATAATTGGCATTTTAATTTGATACTAGGCACAGTTTGGCCTGGAGAAAGTTTTCATCATATTTGTCTATTATTTTTGTTATGATCTTGCACACTACTTAAGAAAAATATAGTTGGCCTGGTACTATCTATTAACCATAAAACTATTTTCAGGTATACCTCTGAAGTAACTAAAAGGTTGCTAAAGACGTCAAAACTTAGGAACTGCTTGAAAGTTCAATTATATATGTACATTCTTTTATTGAACTACCATCCTGCCTTTAATTGATAAGTCCTGTCAGAATGGATTAAGAATTTCTGAGACAGAGACTACTCTCCTCCGTGAAATGCATAAGGCATCTTCCACTATAATTTTTAGGTTGAATACCTTGCTCTTCTCCCTGTATCAATGCTGGATTAATTGTTTTGCTTTGTTATCTTTTTTCCCCAAACTTTTAAATAAATATTTCATTATATGATTTTTACTATTTCAATTTAGTAATTTTATGGTAAACTGCCTTGAGTGTACCTGTCTGGGAAGTGGTATCTTAAATAAATAATCTAATTCTCTGCCCACTAGTATTATATTGTTACATGATGTTATACTGCTTTAAGTAAGTTGTCCATTGGTTAAAATGTTACAGCTAAAATGAAATAAGGTATGCTGCTATTTAACACTGAACAAACTCTTACAAGAGCCAGAGCACTAAAGAATTCAGCTGGGAAATTTAAAGTGGGAAAAATTCAGAATGTAATTTTGGAAGTTCCAATTTGAAAAGAAGATTGATTCAAAGTACAAACCAAGTTATGACTTACTCTTACCCATTTAAGAATTCTCTCCTAATAGAGACATTTAATGAAGTTGTTCCAATTTAGATTTATGCCACAAAAGTAAAATCTATTCTTCTCTAAACACCCCAAAATATTTAATAAATATTGTTCATAATGACATGTAAGTACAGGTGGCCCTCAGTTAACAACCACTCATTCAGCAACTGTTCAAACTTACAACGGTGCTGAATAAGTGGTATTTACGACTGGTCCTCAAAGTTTCGGCTGTTGCAGTGCCCCCCCCATGATCACGTGATCACAATCTGGGCACTCAGCAAGTGGCCTACATTTCTGACCATGGCAGCATCCTGCAGTCAGGTGATTGTGATTTGCAACCTTCCCTGCCAGCTTCCCACAAGCAAAGTCAATAGGGAAACCAGCAGGAAGTTGGAAGTCGCAGTCATGTGAGGTCCTCGCTTAACAACACATGGTGATTTGCTTAACGAGGATAACCAGAGACTGCCGGAACTGCCGTCGCTAAACATCATAGTCACACTTTACAACCATGTCACTTAGCAACGGAAATTACTGGAAGGGAATTACTCTCCCAAATGTATAACCCTTATTTATTTATTTTCATGTTATGCTACTTGCTACCAGTACCAACAAGATTACCATATCAGAGTTACAGATGAATAAAGATTATCAATGAAATCAAACAGAAAGCTATTAAGGATATGACTTTCCTAGCCAGAACACATACTTTATATCTCTTGTTAAACAGCTGCATTCTAGACCAGCTATTGCTTCAAAGTGGTCTTCATAGATATCCCCACACTGAGTGAATTGAAATAATTCAATTAAGAAGTGATCAAAAGCATGAGAGATTATGAGAAAGGCCCCTGATCCAGCAATGATCACAACTGGTGTCAAGACTTAACTGTGCGAAATCGCCTCTGGACACAAATGCCCCCTGCTCTTCGAGCAGTAGAAGAGCCCACCCTAAGTTGCGAACCAGTTCAGCAAGGAGCATGGTGACCCCATCCAGAACTAACAATGGAAATTCAGTAGCTTTATGGATGGCAATGGATGTCTTCCAAATTCTGCTCCATTAAGACTGAGACTGAGTCTGTTCTTCCCCATTCAGACCCCAGGACAGAACCTTGTTCACATCTCCAGTTTGGCTATGGGTCAAAATGTACCCCTGGGCATCATCAGTGGATGACCTCTCTTAAGAGTTTCATGTAAATGTTGAACAAGAGCGGCAAGAGGATTAAACTCAGTGACACTCCAGGTTTAAGAAGGTTCAACCTTTTCACCCCACCAAATGGATTTGTTTCCTGAGAAAAAGGAGAACTGCCACAAAATAGTGCCCCTACTCCCAACTCACCAAGGTCTAGAATGATATCATATGGTATGTTAGAATACCACTAATATAAATCTTTGAATTTTGAGACATTTAAACACAAGACGTCATAACGAAGTTCATCAAATAGAAGAGAAAATGTACCTATAGTATATATTTCCAAACTATGGAGGATTGTGTTTTGGGAGTTAATTTTTTATATTGGGTTTTTTTGTTTGTTTCATTGGTTGGGGTTTTTTTGCATTTGGGTTAGGTTTTTTTTTTTTTTTTAACTTTTTGATTCTTAAATTTTTGGGATTTTTTTTGCTTTGGGTGTTTTACTAATCACACTATGTTTAAATATTTTTTTGTATCAATTTATCATAAGTACACTCATTCAAGTGTTGAAAATATTCATAAAACTCAGTAAGAGAATCTAAGTTTGGATTCAATGAAATTGACAGCAAAGAGGAGATTTCAATGAAATATTGGATCTTGAGCTTGATAGAAATACGCTGGCACAAAACCCCCCCAATAATTAGTGAGGGAAACAATTTAGGCTTATATGGAAGAATTGAATTTAGTAGACCCCTGGCATCTGATGTATCCAACTAAAAGAGAATATGCATTTTATTCAAATGTGCATCAGAATTTTTTTAGGCTTGATCATTTTTTAATATCATCGACCCTATATCACTAAATTCAAGAATGTAACATTGATATTTGTTATGTATCTGATCATAGTGCAATCATCTTGAAATGTATGTTTCAGAAACTGGTTAAGGTATCAAGAAATTGGTATTTAAATGTTTCCCTATTGAATAATAAAAAATTTGCTCAACAAATGCAGGTAGAGACCTCACAATATTTTGATTTAAATTCAGTAACATCAAGCACCCGAATTTTTGAATGGGAAGCATATAAAGCATACATCTGAGGTCGAATTATTACTTATGCATCATACAAAAATAATATTAAAAATAAAAGGGAAAATAATATGAAAAATGAATTGAAACATTTATGGGCACAGATGGTTAGATGCTCATCT